ACGGTCCGCCGTGAATCTGCTCTTTGCTGCTTACCGGCTGGGTCATCTCTGGCTGGTCCTCTTTGATTTCCTTCATGTAAAGAGGGGAAGAGATGAGCACAGACCCGCGAGGTTCTCAGAGAAGAGCTCAGCCCATCCTCAGTGCTCGACATGCGATAATTAAGTTGACTGCCGCTCCATACTTGACAGGGATCCTTACATACACACTGGGGCTTCTCTTGTAGCTCAGTAGGTAAAGAGGCAGCCTGCAATGCAGGAGAGCCGGGTTCGATCCCTGGGTCGGGAAAATCCCCTGGAGTAGGAAATGGCAACCCATTCCAGTCTTCTTGCCTGGAGAATCCCATGGAGAGAGGAACATGGCAGGCTGCAGACTCTGAGGTCGCAGAGTTGGACACGTCTGAGACTAAGGGCAGCACATACACATGGCTCAGGGGTCCTGCTGCGAGGGGTGGGAGAGGCGGCAGATGCAGGGATGCGGGAGCGAGCAGGGAAGTGCTGGGTTCAGAGGGGCCCTGTGTGGCCTTGGCAGTGGGCCATGAAGCCTGTGCCACGAAGGAGGAAATGAATTACAGACAGTGGAGGTAAATAACCCCCTGTGGTGGCCCTGGGCTCCCCGCCTGGGAGGGGCACCTCATCCAGGACCGCCCCCCCCCCCCCATTTCTGCTGTCAACTAGACCCGCCAGACACAGCTTAGCCCTGTCTCTCCTTCATTCCTGAGCTTCCTCTTTCCACAAATGGATTCTGAAGAACTACCATGGGCTATGCTTTCTTCCAGGGACTTTGAGGAGCAGAGTTTGGCCTGAGTCAGTCAGTCAGTCAGTTCAGTCGCTCAGTCATGTCCAACTTTTGTGACCCCATGGACTGCAGCAAGCCAGGCCTCCCTGTCCATCACCAACTCCCGGAGGTTACTCAAACTCATGTCCATTGAGTCAGTGATGCCATCCAACCGTCTCATCCTCTGTCGTCCTCTTCTCCTCCTGCTTTCAATCTTTCCCATCATCATGATCTTTTCAAATGAGTCAGTTCTTCCCATCAGGTGGCCAAAAGTCAAGTGAATTTATTGGTCTTTCCCTCCAGGCCTGTCTTCTTTCCTTCCTTTTCCTCTTCTTCCTTCCTTCCTTCTTCCCTTCTTTCCTCAATCTAGCCATCCTGTCACTACATCATCCATCTGTGTCCTTCACTGCTCTGACCCTTCACTTGAAATCTGCCTCTAACATGTGCTGGGTTCTGTGGGTTGCCAGGCTGCAGCCCAGAGAGGCAGACAGATAAGGACCTGGCCTCACCCATGGACCTCACTACCCAGGAGGGAGATAGTCAATAGCTAAACAAACAAGCCTGGGCCCGGACAATGGAGGAAGCCGGCAGGTGATGAAGCTGGAGTCAGGTGGAGGGGGCAGAGAAGGGAGACGTGGAAGACTACAGATGCGGAGCCCATCCTGGGAGACCTGATAAACGGACTATTCCAAACAATAGAATCATCTCCCCACACATTCTGTCATTCATCCACCTGCCCACTCATCTATCCATCTACTGCATTCTTTACTGCATTTTTTCATTTACTTGTTCCCTCCATGAAGCAACTTGGTCTACTCGAAAACATTGTTTGGGACCACACAGGTTTAGGCTTCCCTGGTAGCTCAGACAGTAAAGAATCTGCTTGCAATGTGGGAGACCTGGGTTCGATCCCTGGGTTGGGAAGATCCCCTGGAGGAAGGCATGGCAATCCACTCCCGTATTCTTTCCTGGAGAATCCCAGGGACAGAGGAGCCTGGTGGGCTACAGTCCATGGGGTCACAAAGACAGATACACAACTGAGCGACCAAGCCCAGCACAGAGGTCTAAGTTCTGATGACAACTTTGCCATGCAGAAGCCTAATGACTGGAGAAAGGAATTTCGTCTTTTTATGCCTCTGTTTTCTCAACTGTAGTATGGGCAAAAGATACCCTGAGACAAGGATTTGATGAGATGGCAAGGGTCTGCAGGAACATGATAGATGCTCCATAAATGCCGCTACTATTCCTGGCACCACAGGTTAGTCACTTAGAGATTTCCCAACTCACAAGTAGGAAATGCCTGACCCTAGACCCCCCACTCACCAGGGCTGACTGACCCCAGACACACTGACCCTGGGCTGCATCATGAGGTCTGCCAAGATGCCTAACCCCTGACACAGAATGGACACAAGGCCACCACCCAATCAGACCAGCCTGGGAGTGGCCCATCCTGGCTCCTCCATCCACAAATCCCCGGATGCTCTGAGTTGTCTGCTTCTGGCCTGCTAGTGATCACATAGGGTAGGCACGAATATGGTCCTATTCCTTCAAGCAGGCAAACTGAAGCACAGAAAAACTGCTGGCTGGCCAAGGCTCACCAGCGAGCCACAGAGCCGTGGTAGTGCCCCAGCTGTTTCTCCTCCTAACCTGCTGCCGTGCCTGGGACACCGTGTCACCTCACTCCAGGTTTCCTTGGCAGTGAAGAATGGTAGCTGCCAGTGGGGCCAGCTGAACCATCCCGGCTTCAGCAGCAGGCACATGGGGCCAGTATTTCAATCACGATTTGGGGTGAAAGTATTAGTCGCTCAGTTGTGTTCGACTTTTTGCAACCCCATGGACTGTAACCTGCCAGGCTCCTCTGTCCATAGAATTCTCCAGGCAAGAATACTGGAGTGGGTTGCCATTCCCTTTTCCAGGGGATCTTCCTGACCCAGGGATCGAAACTGAGTCCCTTACATTGCAGGTGGACACTTTACCATCTGAGCAGCCAAGGAAGCCCTATGAATTGCTCTATCTGTTGCAAACGCTTGTTGCAATCAGATTTCCTGAAAGTAAGTCTGGCATTCTCTGGGTTCAGCTTCACTCTTAGTACAGAACCTTGAGGGACTTTGGCAGGTCAAGCCTGCTTGGAAGTGCTCGGTTTTTGTCAGGGTTCAAAGACTTTGGCTCCAACTTCCCGCCTGCACTAATTTAGGGCCTGGCATCCCTGAGTTCCCATTTCCCCTTCCTCGTAACATAGAACGGTAATACCATCCACCTTGTGGTAACTCCTTTAATCACACTTTAGTGCAGTGGTTGCCTCAAAGAATCTAAGAGTATCAAGTATGATCATGAGAACAAAATAAGAACTGACACTTACTGGATAGTTTCTATGTGACGGATATCTTCACTGCCACTTTATATACATGATTTCTATAAATCCCATATATTAGTTAGGATGCATCTGGCTCAAGGAACAAATTACTCTTAATCTCTAATCCATACGTGGGAAGTCTGAAGGTCCAGCTTTGACTCAGCAGCACCTTAGGTTCCAAGGACCCAGGCTCTTTCTCTCCTCCTCTTCTACCATCCTCGGCACGTTAGCTTTTCATCCTACAGCTTGTGCCTTCTATGCTCAAAATGGTTGCTGCAACTCCAACCATCACCTTTGAACTCAAGGGAAAAAACAATGAGTAGAGAAGTTTGTTCCACCTCCTGAGGAATGAAATCCTTTCTAGGAGTACCCCCATAAATGTCTCTTTCTGTTTCATTGGCCGGAATTGGGTGAGAGGCCTACCCTTAGGTCAACAAATAGAGAAATCATCAGAGCCACCTCTTACGGGGTCATGTCTATGGTCATAAACTCCCTCCACAGACACAAACCTGCCACCACTTCCAAGCAGCCACATGTGGTTCAGCATCCCCTTGTTTAAGTTACAGGGAAAGGGAAGACATGGCGTAAGTGTTATGAAAACCACAGGGGAGAGGGCGTCCACTGAGGTCCAGGGATGGGGATTTGCTGGGGAGTGAAACGGGCAGCACGGGGTCCACTGAGGCTGAGTGCAGTGCAGAGCAGGGAGAGGCAAGAGGAAAAAGAAATCAAGGAGGCAGCTGGCCCGGAGGCCACGCCGGGACTGGGCATTCCATGCTAAGTCAATGGGCAGGCTTAGGGAGGCTGGGACCGGGAGAACGCCATCACCTTAGTTCTATTCGCCAAGGTTCGCTCTGGGGCCTCTGAGAAGGGTGGTCGGTAACCAATAGGAGTCTGTGGCTGAGGCCCACATGGGGGTGAGGGGGCTGGACTAGGGCAGACCAGGCTCCAAAGGAGACCCCTTTACCGCTGTGGCAAGTGTGCTGCAGAGCATGACGGCCAGCACCCCGAGCCCACCAGGGACAGCAAGCACCCGGATGCAGGCAGACCGCTCCAGCATCCAAGGGTGTGTGTGTGTGTGTGTGTGTGTGAGTCGTTCAGTCGTGTCTGACCCTTCGCGACCCTATGGACTGTAACCCGCCAGTACCCAAGTCTTCAGGCTTAGAGCAGGGGAGGGAACGCCCGCAAACTGAAACCAGGGCTTTAATTTGTAGACGGGGTAATGATGGTGTCCCGGGCTCCAGTTCTGAACTCATTTGTGAATTCCTACCATTTCGAGATCAGTGGACTAAAGCCATCCTCTTCTCTTGCAGCCAGAGAGAGAGGAGTGAAAGATGACAAATGCAAACCAGAAGTAGGAGCAGCCGGAGGGAATGGGAGGGAGATGATTTTCTCCACTGGGAGCGCTTTCCAAAGCCCCTGCCAGCACCCGGCCCTGAAACTGGATCTCTGCCTCCTCCCGGTACCCTCCACCAGCTCCCCCTCCCCTCCTTTGAGAAATGCCCAGGGAAGATGACCCTGGCTCCTTCTGTGAGGTTTTACCGGCCCCGGTGCGAAATCACAGCCCTGTAACTTTCCCTTTAAGAGCTGTCAGAGCTGGGAGGCTGGCCAAGCTTGGGTTGGAGGTGGGGACAGAGGAAAGAAAGAAAAAAAAAAGAGGAGAGAGAGAGACAGGAAAAGTTTTTTCAGAGGAAAATGCAGGGTTTGTCCTTAACCCTGACGTCAGATCTTGCTTTAATAAAACCCCCCGAGGGCTGCGGGAAGAGGCGTATCTGGCACTTCTGATGGGCCAGGTCAGTCTCGGTACAACTCCCCTGAGAAGTGGCCGGATCCTCTGGGCTACTCCGTAGATGCCTTGGCCACTGACCTCCAGGCATGAGGTGGTTACTGCCCTGGACGCTGGTGGCAGCGGCAGCAGCAGGCGGCACCTTGGCCGTGGTGAGTCCTGCCCCGAGGGGCGCCGTCCCCACCGGTCCTGCTGTGCGGGTGTTCGGGAGGGCAGGAGGAGAAGGGCTGATATGTCGGGGGGCGGGCAGGGAAGCGTCCATGAGGAGCCAGGGCGAGCCCCAGGGTGAGGAGTCGGGCCGCTGGGGCTGGCAGGATGGGAATCATGGCCAGTACCTGGGGAAACAAACCAAACAGGACTTCTATGCCCTTTATTTCCCACCTCAAATGCAGTAGAAAGGGGTCACTCGGAGGAAATGAGAGTCAGGGGTCCTGGACTCTGGACAGAGGTCTGCGCAGACTTGCTGTGTGACCTCGGGCTAGTCACTCACTCTCTCTGAGCAGCGTAAGGTGAGAAAGATTGTCGTTAGACTTCTAGCCTTTGGCTTTGGAAAATGAGTCTCCAAGTGTTGGAGATACTACAAGAGGCGGTGGAGAGGACCAAGGAAAGTTGGAAGGAAAAGGCCAGCTTTCAACAAAAGCGCTCACTTGTGCCACAGGACGCATGATGATTCTCCAACCACAACCGCCTTGGGCTTGCACAGCTCTCTACAGTTTATGAAGCATGCACGTTTGGGTTCTGTAGAAGATAGCTGCTGGTTCGGGGGACCCGGAGGGTCCTCTGTCTCCCACCTCCATCCTGGGGCACACCGAGGGAAAGGGAGAAGGTCTGCACCTCCGAGAAGCCGGGGAGCGAGACACGTGGCATCATGAAGCCAGGCAGCTGGCACAGGGCGGGCAGCAGGCACAGGGCGGGCAGGAGGTGGGCAGCTGCAAAGAGCTTCTGAGTCAAGAGACCACGGCCCAGGCCAGGGCCTGCTGCCACTCCCACAGACAGCTTTCTTGGGAATTGATGTGCCCCATTCCCAGGTGAGGAGACTGAGGCTGGAGGGTGTAAGCTACTTGCCCGTGGGCTTAAAGACACTGGTTCTGATTCAGCCAGATCAGAGGCTCAGACCTGACCATAGGCCAGTGGCTCATAGGCGCTGGGAGATGGGTGTTCCTCCAAGCACGGTAGAGTGCATGATGCGGGCAGGTAGAGCTGGTGACTCGCTGTTGAATCCCCCTGCCTTGGGTGGCTGTTGCCCAGTAATTGCCAAATAAAAAGCATATTAATTCCATTTTACGAATGAAAGAAACAGAGACAGGGGCAAGCCAGGGACTTGCCCAGGGTCTCACCATCAGTAAGTGGAAGATCTTTTTTTGCCAAATGCCACTCTTTGCTGCAGACCCAAGCAACCAGGAGGCACCACAGCAGCCTTTATTTCAGAGCTGCTGTGTCTGGGAGGACAGGGGGTGGATGGAGAAGAGGTGAGAGGGGTTGGGTAGTGAGGTCTGAGTGAGGAGGAAGAGAGAGATATGTTGGGGGGAGTGTGTCCAAGTACATGGGAACACTGAGGACCTCCTCAGAAGGGAGGTACTTTCTCCCCTGGGAAAGAGGGGCTACCAGCCCACAGGCTCAGCTGAGAGGGCGTGCAGCCTGGGAGCTGGGAATCCAGATGGCCCCAGAAGCAGGATGGAGAGAAGGCTTTCGAGAGGATACGGGGTACCTCTCCTCTCCCCCTGACTGGGACCCCCCACAAGCTCCCTGTGGCCAAGGAGTGAACACGGAGCTGACTGGGGGAAGTATCTCAGTGTCATGGAACCAGGACACAAAGAAAGTGAAGTTACTCAGTCGTGTCCGACTCTTTGCGACCCCATGGACTGTAGCCCACCAGGTTCCTCCGTCCATGGGATTTTCCAGGCAAGAAGACTGGAGTGGGTTGCCATTTCCTTCTCCAGGAGATCTTCCCAACCCAGGGATTGAACACAAATGCTGTGCTAATAAATTCTGGGGGGCACATGTGAGGTCTCTGATAGTTTGTGTAAGGCTGAGACTCATGTCTCTTCTCCCATAGAAATGTGTGTGGGTGTGCACAGAGGTACAAGCACATGTATGTGTGTGTGTGTAAGTGACTGTGGCTTGTCTGAAGGTATAGATCCTCAATGTGTGAGGATGCATGAGCTGGGTGTGAAACTCAAACCCACTCTCAGCCTCTGGGACTGACTGCAGGATAACGTGGACCCAGATAAGTGGCACATTCCCTTCTAAAAGATTGCAGGAGCATCAGCAAGATGCCTTCTTTAAAACCCCTGTCTATAGCAGGGACGTGAGCTAGCATTTCAAACCCCACCCCAGGCCCCACACCCACCAGCTCCCTGCCCAGAACCCCTTCTGGCAACTCGGACCCTCTGCTCCCGGCTCTGAACCCCTCCTGCTCGCCGCTGGCCCAGGATGCTGGCAAGAGCGTGGCTGGGACAGACACTTTCCACCTGGGCACGGCCCCTAGCCAGGGCTTTTGTGCCTCTGGACCCGGCACAAGAACAGTGCTCCGTGGGAGACCAGATCCTGACCTTGGGCTGGGCAGTACTCCCAGGCCATCCACGGACTACCTCCCCAGGTCTCAGGAAAGGCCCCTGCCCCATGCTAGCAAAGCAGCCAAACGCCAGGAGGCTGTCTTTGTACAAACAGAAACCCTGGAATTCCTCCCAGAAACATTTGCCATCTCTCTTAGCGCAGGGAGGGGCTGCTACACACCCCGTAGGTTACTTGTGGGGGCGGGGAGGCGAGCCAGCCTTGGCCCAGGGTGGGATCCCGGGAGGAGCCGGGAAGGATGCCAACCACAACCCGGGAAGTAAAGCAGGGTGAGGAGGCTCGCAAGAGAAGCCTGCAACTGTGGGTGTCGGAGCGGGGCTTCAGGGCTTCGGCCGGTCATTAAACACCTCCCCTGTCCCAAAAACCATGATGAGAGCTAACACTGACCCAGCACGCACTGTGTTCTGGGCACCCAGTCCCGAGCATCTCCATACATCAACTCACTTGAAAACCACACACCTACAAGGCGGGCTCGTGATAGTCTAGACCAGGCTCATTACATCGTCCAACCAGTAGCCACTTGCCACATGAGGTCCTTGAGCCCCTGAAATGTGGCTGGCCCCACCTGAGCTGTAAGAGTGAAATACACAGGGTGAACATAAGACTGTGACATTCTCATGATAATTTTTTCTATTGACACCGTGTTAATAATACTGATAATAATATTGATAATAAGGATAATACTGTTAATATATTGGGCCGAATGAAGCATATTATTACAATAGATTTCACCTTTGCTCTTTAGTATGACTGCTAGTTCCATCTGGAACTCACATTGTGTTTTACCGGACTGTGTTGGCCTGAAAAGACACAAGGGTGCATAAAAAGTTTATAGTGGGGAGGGGGAAATACTGAGCTCCTCGCCTTCCAAGCTGTGCATCCTCAGACGAGTAACCCAACCTCTCTGAGATAGTCTCTTCATCTAAAAGGCATACCATTAGTACTTGCTTCTTGGGCACTAATCCTCTTGGCACGATTAAAGAATGAAAGAGAGGTAGCACAAGAAGACCCAGCACAGCCAAGGCGGGGTGGGAACTGACCCTCCTTCCAAACAGCAGGGGGGGCCTCCCGCCTTGAGCGGAAGCACTGGCTGCAGACAAGTGCTCCGATCCAAACAAGTGAGCAGAGGTTTATCAAGACCCCAGGCTCCGTACCAGGTGGGCAAGGAGAGGGCAGAGCGATGGGTGGATGGTGCTGGGTTCAGAGCTGAGCTGGTCTTCGGAAGACCTCAAGGTTTCCAAGTCCTGGCCAGCTTCTCAGGACATGTAGAGGGAGCCAAGGAAGATCTTTGGATTATCAGACGGGAGAAGGAAATACAGATAATGATGATGGTGATGATGGTGACGGTGATGGTGATGGCTGCTGCCGATGGTGGTAATGATGATGATGATGATGATGGTGATGGTGATGATGGTGATGGTTGCTGCAGATGGTGGTAATGATGATTATGATGGTGGTGATGGTGGTTATGGTGATGATGGTGATGGTGATGGCTGCTGCCGATGGTGGTAATGATGATGATGATGGTGGTGATGGTGATGATGGTGAAGGTTGCTGCTGATGGTGGTAATGATGATGATGGTGATGGTGATGATGGTGATGGTTGCTGCCGATGGTGGTAATGATGATTATGATGATGGTGATGGTGAAGATGGTGATGGCTGCTGATGGTGGTAATGATGATGATGATGATGATGGTGATGGTGATGATGGTGATGGCTGCTGATGGTGGTGGTAATGATGATGATGATGATGGTGATGGTCATGATGGTGATAGCTGCTGCCTATGGTGGTAATGATGATGATGGTGATGGTGATGGTGATGATGGTGATGGCTGCTGATGGTGGTGGTAATGATGATGATGATGATGGTGATGGTCATGATGGTGATAGCTGCTGCCTATGGTGGTAATGATGATGATGGTGATGGTGATGGTGATGATGGTGATGGCTGCTGATGGTGGTGGTAATGATGATGATGATGATGGTGATGGTCATGATGGTGATAGCTGCTGCCTATGGTGGTAATGATGATGATGGTGATGGTGATGGTGATGATGGTGATGGCTGCTGATGGTGGTGGTAATGATGATGATGATGATGGTGATGGTCATGATGGTGATGGCTGCTGATGGTGGTGGTAATGATGATGATGATGATGGTGATGGTCATGATGGTGATGGCTGCTGCCTATGGTGGTAATGATGATGATGATGATGGTGATGGTCATGATGGTGATGGCTGCTGATGGTGGTGGTAATGATGATGATGATGATGGTGATGGTCATGATGGTGATGGCTGCTGATGGTGGTGGTAATGATGATGATGATGATGGTGATGGTCATGATGGTGATGGCTGCTGATGGTGGTGGTAATGATGATGATGATGATGGTGATGATGGTGACGGTGATGGTGATGGCTGCTGCCGATGGTGGTAATGATGATGATGGTGATGGTGATGATGGTGATGATGGTGATGGCTGCTGATGGTGGTGGTAATGATGATGATGATGATGGTGATGATGGTGACGGTGATGGTGATGGCTGCTGATGGTGGTGGTAATGATGATGATGAT